GGAAGGTAGTTAGTTTCGTTGTAGTAGGTACGTGCGGCCGGTAGTTAGTTTTACGTACGAAGCGAGGTGAGTGGGTAGTGTAGTTCGTCGACGAGTAGGTGGAGGGGAGGAGAGAGAGAGAGAGAGGGGTTTGAGAGGTTGATCGGGGGAGAGAGAAAGGAAAGCATGTCAAGAGAGAGAAGGGTTTGGGAGGTTGATCAGTTGAGAGACAAAGGGAATCATATCACGACAGAGAGGTCTTCAGAAACAATGTTCTTTTTTAAAATTTGTTTGGGTCAAAAAATTAGTAAAAAACGAATAAAATATGTTTAGGGAGTTAGAAAATATAATAGAGTGAATCTCTATGTAGTAAGATAGATTTTTGCAACCTTAGGTCAATGGAGAAATGAAAGTTGAAAATGAGGTTTATAGAGATATTTTCTCTATTATTTATAGCCATGCACCCCGGCCGATGACGTTGAAATTTTAGATGGGGGACTAAAACGTCCTATTTGAGGCAAATGACGAAATAAATGATCATATGTTTTTGCATTATTTCTCAAAAGAAAAAGTTTTTGTATTCTTTTTTTACTATTGCAATATGCAGCTGAGCATGTTTGGTTTGATTGACAGTAGTAATTTGGTAATTCGGCGGTCTTTTGGAACAATCTTATCCAATGGGCTTTTGAGAGACGCCTTACTTCAATAGCATAAAATTCGTACCATATGAAAGCATTTTCCTTCAAGTATTTCTATGGCAAATTTCCCAGGAGAGGAATAGTTGGGTTCAGGACTCCAATAATGTAAAGTTTAAATTTGGGATAGCAATTAGTGTGTTGCCGATGGCCACAAAAGAGTGTCTCATGAAGGCATCCTTTGCAAATTTGAAACCGGTGGCTCATTGTGATAAAAAACATTCATAACTCAATAGTGTAAAATGTAAAATTTAGGTAACCATTGCCATGTGGCTTATTGGAAGTTAAATTTGTGGGAAAAGGATATTGACAGTTTCAGTGCCTTGTCATCCATGTTCTGCTAATGAGACCGTGTTGAGTGAAAAGAAACAATGAATGCAATACCTTCATTATTTCCATGACAGTCTCTTCTTTTTTTTTTTGACCAGGTCACATACAAATGATTTTGAAATGTAGCGATATGAAAACCCAGCTGCTACTGTTTTAACCCAAGCCCGCTTACTATTTCCATTACAGTCATTATAGTGGGCAAAATTTGCAAGGTGCATTCGTAATCATAAGATCCTTTGCTCGTTGAGGTTCATAAACTTAAAAAAGTGGGTCCTAAAGCAGTGTAGGATAAATAATTGAATTTGTTGATATGGGTATTCAAAAAAATGGGTATCTATTAAAACCTTCCAAGACATGTAATGGATATTATAGACCACCTTAATGTTGAATGAAGTGTTTTTAGGTGTAGAAGGGGTGAAACAAAATTTTTTAGAAAAGGTACTTGACTGGGGACTGTCAAGAGGGAGTGGCATGAAATCCTAAGAGCAGATTTAATACGGAATCGTGATTATTAAGATGGGGTTTCTCAAGGAGGATCTATGGAGTTTAGAGACCTTCCCATAAAGCTCTATCAAACATAATTTTGATGGGAGCTCTGATGCCAATCTGGGTAATGTTAGAATCAGTGACATATTAAAGGATTTTTTTGGGGAGTATATTGGCTACCGACTCGAGACTTTGTGGTCTTTCTACCACTATTGAGGCCCCTTGCCAAACCACAGGAATTTGCTCATGAGCTTTTCCGGTCTTACCATGACAATGTTGGCATAAAGAATAGAGACATGAAGAAAAGAGGGATGCTAGAGAGTGTAGCCTTGATAAGTGTAACTCTTCCAGCAGGGGACAGGAACCTCCCTTCCACGAAGCCAGCCTTCTCTCGACTTTGTCTATGACAGGACTCCAGAGTTGGAAGTGAGGAAGGCCAATACAAAATGGGAGGTCGAGGTAGGAGGAGGGCATGAGCTCGACAAAACACCCCCAGATGACAGCAAAACTTTGAACTGAAGCATGGTCAAGGCACATGCTGCACATCTTAGTTTTCTCTAGGTCCAACCTAAAGCTTGTGGCCATCTGGAAGCATTGGAGGAAGAGCAGTAAGCCTTGGAAGTGTTGCAAGAGGATGGTATCATCGGCTTATTGGAGGTGAGAGATTGAGGGGCCAGACCTCCCTACATGGAAGCCCGAAAGAAGACCTGCTTGATACATCCGAATAATGGAGGCATTGAAGAACTCAAAGGCATTGAAGACCTCAACCATGATTGCAAAGAGAAACGGAGAAAGAGGGTCCACTTGGCAGAGCCCTCGAGAAGCTTGGAAGTAGCCATGAGGGGTGCCATTTATGAGAATAGAGAACTGGTGTTTAGAAATACAACCACATATCCATTTCCGCTAAAGAGGCCCATCACATAGATAGCAATTAAAAAATTTTCAAGTGCATAGAGAGTCTAATTCAACAATTTTCTTTTTTTGAGGTTAGTCTAGGTTGAAGAGGCCAAATCTCTAAAATTTAGAATCCTTAAATTACTTCTAAATTGGGATTTAGCTGACGGAGTAAGTATGTTCTTGCAGGAGCATGAAATCTTTTGGTAAATTATATAGATGGAGTGGACAAGTGCTATTCATAATTACATTTATTTGCTATCCATCTCTACTAGAGTTTTAGCTATTCATGCTTCCAGGGTCGTGTAGAAGTTTGTTTTTAATATACTTCTCTATTTCAACTCGTACAAATCAAACGCATGCCAGTTTAAATATTTCAGATCCAAAGTTCAGTGAACAATCCAAATTTTTAGATTTTTTGAATTACAAATAATTTACAAAACTCCAAATTCCACTTGGATTATTATCCCAGTTCCATATTTTAGAATACACACAAGTATATTAAAGTGTGGCAAAGCATTTTTGACCTCTCCACACTACAACAATCCAGAATTCTCTTTGCTTGGTTAATGCAACACAAGGATTCCCAAGAGGCCACCAAACTATGTGCTACTCTTGCAAAGAACCCATGATCTCAATGTTTTGGTAGAATCCAGTCCATAATGCCTATATAAAGCAAATGAAAAATTTAGTTTTTTTTTCATACAATTAGGTGGTTGAGCTGCCTGCATGCTTATGGTAAATTGAATGTTACACCATATTTATTAAAAGATTTCAGTGTCCTATGGCACCATTATGTACAGGTGTTACAGAGACCATGTTAAAGGGATTTGTTTGACCCCAAAACACTCAAATTGTTTATTTCATATGTAGGTATCACTTAAAAATAGAAAATGGCTTGAAACTAAAAAACATAAAAATATAATAATGATCCAAATCAATCCCCCTCCTAGTTTGACTTTGTACCGTCCATTTGATGGATGGTCAGATCTAGGGTTTTAAGAATTCAAAATTGTCATTGTTTTTTTCCCCTTCTATGAGAATGTCCACAAGATGAACAAAAAATTAATTTAAAAAAATTCAAATCAAAAGAGTCCTTCAAGCATGCTCTTTTTTCTATTGTCATAAGAATGACCAAATTCTGTCAACAAGTTAACATAATAGGGAAATGGTTATCTAATGATAAGTAGTATCACATAAAAGGAACAAGTACCCTCCATGTCTTGCTGGTGCACTTTCAGCTACATAAAATAGCTTTTCCTTTTGTTATCAAAAAAAGAAAAAAAAAAGAAAAGAAGAGAAGATAGTGGCCTGGAAACTTTGTTAATGGGTGATTAAGTCAGAGAAATGCTTTCAATCTAGGGATCGTGATTGCCTATATGGAGACTTGTAACTGCAGACTTAAAGAGGATCATGTATCCCATGATGAGATCATGATCCTAGTAGAACGGAGGAATACGTTGTCATATATAAAATTCAAACCTTAGAAGTCTTACTTTTGAAATAGATTGACTTCTTAAAAGAAGTCCTGTATTTGAAATAGATTTGACTTCTTAAACAGGAACCCCACACTGATTGTGATATTTTGGAAACCATCAAACGAAATTCATGCATCTCATTCATCAAATGTCAAAGAAATGTACCTTGATTTCAAGAGCAGTAGTGACCAAACTTCCATTGTCCTTGTCGCAATTTGTACCTAAGGGTTTGGTCCATTTAAAATTTGAAGTTCAGGAGTTTGATTTGGGGAATAAACAACTACATTTCACAAGTGTTCATTGGCTTCTACAGAATCCAATGATCTCAGTCCCTCTATTTCCAATGGCAACCTATATTAATATTTCATTGGAGATGCTCTTCAACAAAAGCAAAACACGATACTAAGCATGAAGATTGTACTGAATCCTATTTCTTTTAAATAAATTCAAAGGCGTAATGACATAGCCACATATACTTCAAGCATAGTCAACATATCTGTTGGTGACCCTAAGCTTCAAGGCCCTATAACATGAATGTGGAAGAATATATTTTTAGCTACAATAGCCACCATGTCAAAGTGTGGTTCATGCTTCATATTCTAAAATTCATGAATCTCTCATCCAGGGAGGGTCTTGACAAAATGATTTCATTAGGCTTGATACTTTTGAACTGATGGGTTGCAGGAATAAAAATAAGGGAAGGGACAGGTGCAACAATGTCAGATGAGGAAGATGAGTTTGAAACCGAAAGCAATCAAGGTACGTCAGAAAGCAGTGCAGGCGGCCAAGATACATTTGGTTTTGGTCCTCTCCTTCCAACAGAATCTGAGAGAACTTTGATGGAGAGGGTAAGGCAAGAACTCAAGATCGAACTGAAACAGGTAAAACCGTAGGAATCACCTTTTCCCTATGTTTTATGTGAAACCGTGTGCGACATGGTAACTTAAACAAAAGTAACACCACTGCAGGGATACAAATTGAAACTTGAAAAAGTGAGAGACGAGATTCTGAGGAAGCGTAAGGCGGGAAAATTACCAAATGATATGACATCCGTTCTGAAAAACTGGTGGCAGCAACACTCAAGATGGCCCTATCCAACAGTATGTGGTTCTATCATCATTCACAAGCTCTATTATGGTAACCTACTAAAGGAATAAGATAAACTAAACTAATATAAATGTGACATGTTAACACTGAAGATAGATAGATAAATTCTTATTCTCAAAAAAATTATTATTTGCATCTAGCTTACATTTGGAGATGCTAACCACTTGCTTTAAGATAGTTCTAAATCAGAGGCATTATGAATTGCACTATCTCTAGCTCCAAGTTGCTGAAATATATAAGTTCAATCATTTCATTTTATTCTGAATCCTCTGATAAAACAATCCTCAAGTCAAGACATGGCCTCCCATGCACAGATCTTCATATCTAGATACAAGCTCAAGGAAAAACCAAGCTACTGGGGAAACAAACTTGACATAGACCTTGTCCATGAAAATTTGTACATTAGATGTATGGAACTCTAGGAGTCATCATCATAACCTTTCTAATTTTAGAGTTAGTGTCACATGTTTGTTAAGAATACATTTTTCTTTTGATTGCACAACTCATGACTATAATATTCCATCTATTGTAATAAATGAGCATATCCTACAAAATTTGAAATAAGCATGGGTATAACCAGCTACTAAACAAGCCATGTACACTGCAACAGAAATAGAGGACATGCGATGGAGCTTCATAAACTGCTGCTGGAGTCTCTAACTTGATAGTCAGCTTCCAAGTTGGCCTACTTTGGCAACATATGATGAACGGGGCCATGCAAATCAGTACTTCTTTCAAGATCCTCCTGCAAGTTCACAACGATCCTAGGCATTGTTGCACATATAAGGATATCAGTGTCAGTGTTAGACACAATTATAGGGTTCATAATCTTAGGCTATAAAAAAAAAGGATAAAATAGGGTCCAACGACATGGCTATATATATGTGTTTGTATTATAGTTGTTGGAAATGCCTGTGATTTGAAATCATTTAAGGAATAAAAAACATAGAATTGCGGGTGGCCAAATGATTCCTTAGTCATTGTCCGTACAATGCATATCGTATGAAGTGGGATTCCTATCATTTGGGAATCGCCATCCTGTCCAATAGGAATCAAGATTCCTATCTTGTTTGAATTGTGGTCCCATCAACTTGGAATCGAGATTCCTAACTTGCTGGAATGAAGCCAGATATTATCAAGAAATGAGTTCCAAAAGGCAACGCTTTAAGATTTAAGATTATTTATAAGCAAGAATGCTTATTAGTATTGGACTCCATATATTGGATAAGCTTACCCAGGACTACCTTATTATTGGAATTAATGCCTTTACAGCCATCCCCTAGCACCGGAGACAATGTTTTTAGGTGACCTTTATCATATTTCTCCACGACTATCGAAAACAAGTTCGAGTACCGTTATCTAAGTACTTTTCTAGAGCTTAAGATTGAATAATGAAAATACAAGTACTTTATTCATTAATAATGTATTTTAAAAAATAAGACATTTATTACAAGTTTTTGAAATTTAGGTATGCAGTTTGTGTACACCCATGGAGTTTTTAGATACCCATCGTAAATAAATGATCAATAAATTTCTAGTGAAGTGTTGAAATGGACCAGAGGTTTATAACTTGACTAGTAACCTCACAACATGGTTGAGCGATGACCATTTTCTTTCTCTATACATACAAAATGCCTGTATTATGTGAACCATGGAGACAAATTATCCACCAGTGCCGCTCACTCTTAGTTTAAGGTTTACATATCTGAAGCAACTCCTATTATCACATCAAAACTCACTTACAAAATTATGCCATATCCAAGGAGACACAGATTTTATACCGTGTTGAGGGTTTTTAGGCTTTCAAAGCCCTCATGATGCTCATTCATATTTTTTTACGAGATAACTAATATTTTGACTGCACATGAAATTTTGATTTGTGCTGCATATTGTGCCTGCTACCAAGACCTGATCCTAAATTCAGGTATCATTTCGGTGATTGGATCCAGAGACTCATGGAAACTTCATAAAAGGATAATACATGAAAGCAACACCAATCCTGCTACTGACTAGGATGGAGATTGCTAAGTGTCCTGGTCACAAAAATATTGGACACATCTCTATTAAATAAACCCATGGCTTCTTATAAATACAAACTTTTATCTTGATCACAAAAATACCAATCAGGAAATGACCTGTAACCATAAAAGCCATAGCATCTATTTATGGTTAAACGTTTTGGTGGAGGAGTGGTGCCATGCCTAATTTACTTGTCTTTGATTGTTGAGGACCGAAAAAGCTCCAAATTTATTCTCTTACTGTCCAACATCAATCTCCTAAACGAAAAAAAACAGGGATTCGGAGCTCTAAGCATGCTCATTCTCATCTGATCCGTCCATTTTAATTGTCAGTAGATCAATCAAGATGGAGTTTGATGTGCAGGTGCATCTGCACCGTGAACAGACCCCTGTTAATACCTCAGAAAGACAACACAATAACTATATATCGAAGCAAAGCTAATTATTGAAAAAATTTATTGAAGACAAGCTAGACTTAGCAGTTAAAAGGTTAATCTTGCATCTATCACCATCTCGTTTAATAATTCTTTCTTACTATTGCCACAAACCACCCTATAGATTTCATATTTTACTTTTCAGGAAGATGAAAAGGCAATGTTAGTCGACAAGACAGGTTTGCAACTAAAACAAATAAATAACTGGTTTATCAACCAAAGAAAGCGGAACTGGCACTGTGATTTGCCCTCAGAGACATCTCCTAAATCCAAGACCAAAAGGTGATTACTTTATGAAGATTGTTTCCATCAACATAACAATACATGAAAATATTTGATACCAGTAAGGACATGTGTACTGGATGTGAAATGAACTGTTTATAAACAAGTCATGACCTATTGAATATTATCTATCTAGAAGCTGGGGAGCTTAAAGACCATAATTTCCCTTAGAAGCTCTGGATATGACTTTCACTGAAGCTCTAGGTCAATGTAAATATGATTTCTCATGTGGTTGCTATGATCTTTGTGAGTGTGTGTGTGAGAGTGTGAGTGAGAGTTTCATGTGTAACATCACTTTTCAAATGTCTTTTTCTATGTTCCTGTCGAGGACTATAAATAGCAAATAGATGAATGGTGTTGTATTTCAGAGGGCAAAGAGATTGAATCTGAATGTTTATAATAACAAAAGAATGAACTGCACTGCACATTAACTCGGCCCAAGAAAACCGAGTCAAAGTCACAACTCAGAACTCCACTAACTTTCCATTATTTTTATATATTTTTAAAAAGTATGAACATTTATATATCAAGAAAAAGAAAATCAGAAAAGCTAAACTTAAAACAAATATTTTGAGGGTTTGTATCCAATGCTATTTTTGATGGACTTTGAATTAAGGCACAACCAAACCTTCCTCTATGATGTTCAACGGCTGGAGGGCGCTAAGCAGTAGGAAACCTAAAGATCTAGCAGAAGTATCCGATATTATGATATACATTTATGCATTATCACATAATTAATACACATAACCAGTTTAGTACACCATTGTCATAAAAGAGTGCTACAAATTACCAATTTAATACATGGTCAAAATAAATATAGTGTCCCATTCTATAAATATGAGCCAATGTCTAGAAAAGGTAATTGTTTTATAATTCAGCTGAGTGATTTTGCGGAAAGCCTTTAGATTATTGGCATCCTTTAAAGTTTCATGGGAGATCCAATGGTGATTTGATTTCAAAATATGTGATTACATCATTTACTAGTAAGGAAACACGTGTGTTGCACAACTTTAGACATACTCACCTAATATAAGAAGGGAAAGGTTTCTATGCTTCCCCTACAGCATAGAAGTTCTATCCTCCCCTACAAGCTGTCCAATTTTGATCAAGAGAGCCACTCACTGTTTGATCTTAGATCCGACATTTCAAAGTATTTTATTTTTAGGGTTTTTTTATACAAATTGTATGAATATGAAATTTGGCATGTGCCATCTTCTCATTGGGAGGGCACCTATAAAAAATATTAAAAATAATTTTTCGATAAAATATAATGACCAAAATACCCCTTGAAACTTTTAGGGGTATTTTGGTCATTTTATTTTATTGAAAAGATTTTTTTTTATATTTTTTGCTAGTGCGAGTTTAATAGAGGAATGAATATCCAAAATTTAGTGTTAAAATATTTTATAAAAAAAAATTAAAAATAAAATAGTGTAGTGACATGACATTGTGATTGGGGCAATCTTAGCCCTCCATTTAGAATGGAAGGTTGGATAAGAGGGAGGATAGAACTTCTATGCTGTAGGGGAAGTATAAAAAGCTTGCCCATATAAAAATATATAGAAATAATGTACAATAAATAGTAGATAATTACGTTAATATGGATCAAACAATGAATAATGGTTCAATTTTTTATAACATGGACTATACTTCCAAGTTCTGTAAGTATAACATTTATCATAATTATATCCATAAATATTCAAAAAATTCACTGTTAAATTTGAATACATAAAAAAAAAGTTCGAATTACATGCATAAAAATTTCACGGTGAACTCGAAATACAAATCTAAAAAAAATCCAATATATTAGCTTTTTAATAATGAGAAATTAAAAAAATAAAACTCATATAATAATATGAAAAGAATGGGTAAGAATAGAGCACATCTTAATTAAATTTTGGCTTTGGAGAGAACGAGATACCCAAATTACTCAAATATTTAAGTTCCCAACTTACATGATACTATAAAAAAAAAAGGGAAAATAGAGAAGCATGATTTTATCATGCTATAATATATACAAATATTGCTGAAAAAAAAGAAATTGAAAATACAAATTGAGATTGATTACTTCAAAGGTCAAAAACCTAACGTTAAGAGGAGATTCAACTATGAGAAGAATAGGAAATAAAGACAATTTCATTCCATTGAGAAGAATCGGAAAATACCTTTTGAAAGCCTTAAATCAATTGATATAAGAATTCCCAAACCGATTTGATTTAAAAGTAATCAATTGACATAAAAATTCCCAAACCGATTTGATTTAAAAGTTGATACTTGGATCAATTGATAGTTGAAGAAATGTAAATCAACAAATAAAATAGACATAATTTAGAAGGTACTAATAGCTTTTCGTAAAGTTTATAGAGAGGAATTTCTATTTCATTAAATTAATGTGTGTCACATCTCTATTTCATATCTCTATCTTACGTGGAAAGAATAGCTTATGTTTGCAGTTATTACCATCTTAAAATTTTGGGATTTCTTTACTGTAGAAAAATTAAATGGATGACAAAATAAGGTGAGATAAGGTTGAGAGTGGGCTCGTGATTTTCAAGGGGATAATTTTTAGGATACTTCTTATTAACTAAGATTCAGTTCAGCTTAAAGTTTTTTTAGAAAGGGGGTTTCAATAACCCAAGTACCCTAAACCCTTTTGACATGGACTGCGTCCTCTTCAGCCAAGGGATCTTTTTTTATTCTTATGACATGTGACCACTTTTAACTTTGGCTTAATAATATAGTACGATATCACTGATTTTACAAATTATTATTATGAAAACAGAAAGTCCACTGTTTTCATAAATTATTAGATGAAGGCATAACCATATTATTAGATTTGAATGAGTCACTTTTGTTGGTATTGAGCTCTTTCCTAAGTTTACTCAAGATAACAAGAGTCCATAGGTCACAATTATAAAGAAAACCGAGAACCTTGTTCTACCAAAGTAAGAAGAATCGTAACTATGCATCCAACATGCTGTCAATTTCCCCTGCTCATATTTACAACAAATCCAACAATTCTCATTGTGGATATTATGCTGCCTAACTTAATAGAGCCTCCAAAGTCTAAATAAAAAGGTATTATACAACTCTTCTGTTCCATCAATCACCAATACTCACTAATGGTTTCTTCCTTTTTAATGCACCCTTTGATGAGGACATCTGCAATTCTCCCACAAGAGCAAATTGTACACTTACTGCTTCGGGAAAAAGGCCTCCTATGGAGAAACCCCCCCCCCGACACACACACAAAAAAAACACAAAAGGATTTTGAGTTCATTAACGCTTAGTTTGGAAGCGTTCAACAAAGTTTGGAAGCTGCCGCGGAAGCATTGGCCTCCCTAAAACAATGTCAATTGACATTATTTTTAGGGAATTTGGAAGCCGTTGCTTCAAAATAGTAGCTTCTACTCCCACATAACAATCACAATTGCACAAATAGATTTGTCGGTTCAATTGGAGTGTTTGTTCTCAATCCTAGGGTGTGATGTTTCTCACACAAAACTAGCGTGCTTTCTTTTTGTGCTAAGTCAAGGTTGAGTAAGTGACATGCCCAAATTTTGGGGTCCTAAGAATAAGGGCTTGTTTGATAATTGTAAGCAAGTTCATATAAATTGGAAGTTCCTCCTTGTTGGGAAGATAAAAGTTATTGTAAGAAGTTCTTGGTTTCTGTGTTTGATAACCCCCTAGGAAATTAAAGAAACAAGGAGATAAAAGTTATTGTAAGTAGTTCTTGATTTATGTGTTTGATAACTTCCTAGGAAGTTAAAGAAGTTACTTGTTTCTATGTTTGATAACCTCTTGATAAGTTAAAAAAGTTTCTGGTTTCTGTGTTTGATAACATCTTGGGAAGTTAAAGAACATCTTGGTTTCTGTGTTTGATAACCTCCTGAGAAATTATAGTAGTTCTGGGCTTACATATTAGATTAGCTTTAGAAGTAATAGGCAATATGTAAAATGTTAAAATTGTGACCTAGATATTAGTTATTTTTTTTTATTAATTTTTTAAATTTTATTTTTGGGATAATAATCAATTGAAAGTAAAGTACATTGGATTGAGAGAGAGAGAGAGAGAGAGAGAGAGAGAGAGAGAGAGAGAGAGTTTTATTGATGAGTGTAAGAAGAGTCCTAGAGAGATATATTTGTACAAAATTGAAGCAGACAATGTCAAGCACAACCTCAATTCAATATTGTATATCAAATCATTAGTTTCCTAATCGATTGTTTGAAAATAGAAATCAATATATTTTCTTGAGTATTGTGGGTATACAATTTGTTGAGTCTTTTTACAATTATGAAGTTAAATAGGTGTTTAAATCTCACAAGTAGGTTAGCGATAACTTTCTTCTTAAATCGAATAAGAACTCTCTCTCGCTCTCTCGCTATTTCTCACACACATGCACACATGCACACTCAAATCTATCGACGGTCATGGAAATTATAGATTTGGTTTCATGTATACTATTGGACTATGATATAATAGCTTCAGCACAATTATGCAAGCAATAAGAAACTAGCTCATTCAACAATAACCTGTAATAGCGTGAACACTACTTAGACATACATTCACCACTGATGCATCCATATCCCAACCTCAAAAACATATCTCATTCAACAATAAAACAACATTGTTATTTGTCCCTCAAAACATTTGCAAGAAAAAGATGTATTGTGCTATTTAAATGTCATATGCTGTCTGTACAAGAGAAACAAGCTATTGAAGCACCAACATCATCCAATGCGACTGTACAAGAGAGACAAGTTATTGATGCACCAACATCATCCAATGTGATACAGAGTAGCCAATAATGGAAGTAACATTCCATGGCATTTCATACATTGCATTTCTTATAAAAACCTGTCTTTTTGTGAGTTTTCAAGTGCATCTGTTCCAACTTGCAGCACCCTATATGTCGTTAACCGCATATGAGCAAAATCTAAGCTACTCCTTTTCCACTCTGAACATTGGTTATCAATCTTGGGCCCGGTGAAGTCACTCCTAGAAATATGTAATTGAAATTCCTTGTAATTGCTAGCCGGATGCCTATGTATTCCATGGACAGGAAAAAAGATAAACCCAAGAAATGTGTGAGAGAGAGAGACAAGGTCACCGAATTTAGAACCATGCTTTGTAAAAAAATACCAACATTTCTGAGAAGTCGATAAAAGATGAATGTCATCTATGGTGATCAATGATCACGAAAAAGAAAACTACATAGTGTCTACAATTTAACATGCTCAATTTATTTTTCAAGAGGAACAACATTCCTAGAACAGAGAGCAACAAAATGCATAAGAGAATCCAAGTCAATCAAAGTGAAATGAGTTACATTTCAAATAATCATCTCAATAACGAAGAACATGCAA